GGATGGGGAGCGCCGGGTCCACCTGCTGCGGCGCCTCGCACTGCTGCTGCTGCTGCTGCTGCTGTCAGCAGCTTGCGTACTCATGGTAAGGTAGCGCGGCTTGCTGCTGCTGCCTTCAGCAGCAGCAGCAGCAGCTGCTGCTGGCTTTGCTGCAGATTCCCTGTCCGGGCTTCTGCTGCGCTTCCTGCTAGCTGCTGCTTCCTCTGCTTCCCTCTTCGCTCCTTCAGCATTTCTGCTGCTGCTGCTGCTGCTGTGCCTGTCTGGGGAGCTGGAGCGTCTCCTGCTGCTGCTGCTGCTGCCAGCTGGGGGGGAGCAGCTCCTGGGCCTTAACACATCAAGCCCCTTTTCACGGTGACCGCCTGCAGCAGCAGCAGGAAGCAGCAGCAGCAGCAGCAAGCAGCAGCAGCAGCAGCTAAGAGAGACAAAAGCAAAACAAAAGACGTCGAATTAATTAGTGGCAGCAAAAAAGCGACGCGGCAGCAGCGCCGAACATCAAAGACACCCACACTCAGCAGCAGCATTCGCAGCAGCAGCAAAGCAGCAAAGCTGAAAGAGCAGCAGCAGCAGCCACCAAACAGCAGCACCAGCAGCATAGGCGCCGCGGCAGCAGCATCCGCAGCAGCCCAACCACAGCTGCAGAGAAAATGGCAACTGTGGCCCAATCCACCTCCGCCGCACCCAGCAACAGCAGCAGCAGCAGCAGCAGCAGCAGCAGCAGCAGGCGCACCTTGCAGCAGCTTGTAGGCGTTGGGGTTTTCTCCGAAGAGGATTTCTGCGCCCTCTTTGAGAGAAATAATTGAATTATTTTTGAGTCTCTTTCCGTCAACAGAAGTGCCATTAACAGCGCCGAGTTCGTGGAGTTCGGCGAGGTCTGCTGCTGCTGCTGCTGCTGCTGGCTGCCGCAGCAGCAGCAGCGCGTGCCGCCGCGATATACTTATGTGCGGCAGCACTATGCTGCAGCCCGTGTTGCGCCCCACAGAGTAGCAGCGGCCTCCCCGCAGCTTCCACTGCTGCAGCACGCTGCCATCTTGGCTGAATTCGACGAGGTAGGCCATCCTGCTGCTGCTGCTGCTGCTGCTGCTGCTGCTGCTGCGGGGGGGGGGCGGGAAGCGGGGGGGCAGCTGCGCTGGGGCCGCGCGGCGGCAGCCGCCTTGGAGGGGGACAGGAGACAGAGAGAAACAGCAGCAGGAGGTGCAGCAGCAGTTGAGGTGCAGCAGCAAGAGACACAGCAGCAGCAAAAGGAGAAAAACAAAAGACACAAAGGCCAGGCTGACTAGGGCATTACAGGAAGAGTTAGCAGTACCTCTGGGGCTTTGGGGGCATGCTGCAGTGCCTCGAAGTTTGCTGCTGCTCCTGCTGCTGCTCCTGCTGCTGCGCCTGCTGCCACTACTGCTGCTGCTGCAGCTGCTGCGCTCCCGTCCTGCGGCAAAGAGACACAACAGGAAGACACCCACCAGCGCGCGAGATGCTCCTCAAGATGCTGCTCCGCTGCAGCAGCAGCAGCAGAAGCGGCTCAGATGCAGCAAACCCAGCCAGCCCGCACTGTTTGTGCCCCTGCGGCTCCACCCTGCTGCTGCTGCTGCCGCTGCTGCTGCTGCTGCGCAGCACCGAGACTGCGAAAAGTCAAAGCTACAAAGCGACCTCCCTAGAGGAGGGGCCAAGCAAGCGCTGCAGCAGCCGCGTCAGTTCCCGCTGCTGCCGCTGCTGCTGCTGCAGTTGCTGCTGCTGCTGCTGCCGTGACTCAGCGAACGGCACAGCGAAGGCAAACGCTGCTGCAACTTTGCTGCCTCTACAAAACGTGCAAGAAAATATAAAAAGCTGTCTGAAATTGATGCGCTTGAAGTTCCAACTGTTGCAGTTGTGGCAGCAGCAGCAGCAGCAGTTGCTACTGCTGCTGCTGCTGCTGCATGCTGCCGCAACGCCGCCATCCAGCAGGAGCAGCAGCAGCTAGACGAGGCCCCCCCACGCTGCTGCGGGTTCTTCTAATGCATCTTCTATGTTTTTAACACTAAATAGTTTATTTATTGATTTTCCTTGTATTTAAGCTGGCCTGTGTGCAGGAGTGTAGCTACGGCTGCTGCTGCAGCTATTGCTGCTTCTGCTGCTGCTGCTGCTGCTCCGCGGCAAGCCGCCTCGATGCTCTTGTCTGCGGGGGCGGCTGCTGTCTCTCCCCATAGACAAAAAAGGGAGTGGAAGCAGCATCAATATTTGCTGCTGCAGCTCCAGCGCTAGTCTGAGGAGCAGCAGCAATTGCTGCAGCAGCGGGAGTCGCAGCAACCGCACCAACACCAGCAGCAGCAGCAGCAGCAGCAAAGACGGTAGCAACACCAGCCCACAGGTTTCTCACGCAGGCGGTGTGTGCCCCACGTCCTTAAGTCACAGGAGAGCATTCATTGATTCAGAGGCCCCCTTGCTGCTGCTGCTGCTGCTGCTGTTGTTGCTGCTGGTACGGCTGCTGCTGCGTCGCCTCCTCGAACTGCTGCCTAGTAAGAAGCAACGGCATCCAGCCGCACCGTCACAGGCTCCCCAACCCCCACAACTAGCCTATCAGCAGCAACAGCAGCAACAGCAGCAGCAACAGCAGCAGCACAGCAGCAGCAGCAGCAGCAGCACAGCAGCAGCAGCAGCAGCAGCAGCAAAGATGGGTTTGAAGGAGCAACTGCGGGGCTTCCGAGCGGCGTGGTCTTGCATGCCGTTGGCCCACAAGTTTATTTATGGCTCTCTTGCTTTTAATGGGGTTTTGATGGTGTGGCTGCTGCTGCAGCAGCGGCGCACCAGCAGCAGCAGCAGCAAACTGTGGCAGCAGCACATGCAGCAAACCAGCAAAGAAACTGAAGGCTGGAAGTGCTACGACCTCGCGAAGCTGCTGCGCGAGCAGTGCAGCAGCGACGAGCTGCTGCTGGCCCAGCTCATAGAGGAGGAGTCTGCTGCTGCAGCCTCTCCCGCTGCTGCTGCTGCTGCAGCAGCAGCTCCTGCTGCTTCCGCTGCAGCTGCCGCGACCGCAGCGCACCCCGCGTCTTCCGCAGCAGCGCCACCGCCAGCAGCAGAAGCAGCAGCAGCAACAGCAGCAGCAGCAGCAACAGAGGACCTATTCTGCCGCCGCGTGGTGCAGGGGCTGCTGCAGTGCCGCGAAGAACTTTATTTGCTGCTTGGCAGCAGCAAACTGCCAGCCATGCAGCCTTTGCCTTTCATTTCAAACAAACCCCGCTGGTTCAAGGAGCCCCAGTGGTTCCTAGACCTGCAGCAGCAGCAGCAGCAGCAGCAGCAGCAGTAGCAGTAGCAGCAGTGGAAGTAGCTGCTGCAGCGGCGGCGGCCTGAAGCAGCGGCTGCAGCTGAAGCTGCAGCAATAGGAAGAGAGCTGCTGCAGCCACACCGGCAGGAAAAGTAGCTGCTGCTGCTGCAGCGATTAAAGCAGCTGCTGCTGCAGCGATTAAAGCAGGTGCTGCAGCAGCAGCAAAGAAAGCTGCTGCACGACAGCATCCGTTGAAGTAGCTGTAGCAGCGGGGAGCAGCTGCAGCAGCAGCCACAACAAAAGTAGCTGCAGCAGCAGCAGCAATAAGTATGGCTGCAGCAGCGATGGCAGTCGCTGCAGATGGATCAGCAGTAACAGAACTAGCTGCTGCTGCTTCAACAGCTAACCCTGCTGCAGCAGCTAGTCCTGCTGTAGCAGCTAATAATGCTGCAGCAGCTAATCCTGCTGCAGCAGCTAATAATGCTGCAGCAGCAGTAGCTGCAGGTGCGGGCTGCAGCAGCAGTAGCAGTAGCTGCAGGGGAATCAACAGCAGCAGCTGCCGCTGCAGTTGTTGCAGCTGCTTGCTGCAACAGCGGCAGCAGTGTCTGCTGCTGCTGCTGCTGCCAGCGCAGCAAACGGCGCGGAAGCCGTCGTTTCTTTCTAGGCTTCCAAACCCTAACCCTTAAACCCTAAATTAGGTTTTTTTGAAGGCTGCTGAGGGGATGTTTAGCTAGAAGTTTTGAAGGGTTTGGTGAGGTGTGCAGGGAGAAGCAGCAGCAGCTGCTGCTGCAGCAGCAGCAGCAGGAAACAGCAGCAGCAGCAGCTGCTGCTGTTACTGCATCAGAAAGCAGCAGCACCAGCTGCTGCTGTCCTTCGCAGCTTCCGCTGGTGCGATAGTATGTGCTTGCTGCTACTTGTGCTGCTGCTCTTGCTGCTGCTGCTGTTGCTGTTGCTGCTGCTGCTGCTGCTGCTGGCAGTCCACGGCCAACAGAGAAATATGCCATTTGTGCCGCTGTTGCCCCTAAACAGCATCTTGGGGCCCGTTGCATGCATGCGCATGCATGCATTTGGAACCCACTGCATGCATGCAAGGGGCCCCACATGCATGCATGCATGCATGCATGCATGCATGCATGCATGCATGTGGGGCCCCACATGCATGCATTTAGGGACAGTTTGGACTTCTGCAAAAGCCCCAGTTGAGTTATTTTTTGTGCAAATGGCCCAAAGCCCCAAAAGGGCCATTTGCATACATTTGGACTCAGTTTCAAATTTTCGATTTTTAAAATTAAATAAAATAAAAATTAAATTAAAAATAAATAAAAATAAAAGTAATTAAAAGTGCAAATGAAAGTGCAAATGGAAATATAATTGGAAGGATAAATGGAGACAGAAATAGAACAGTAAATATAAATGTAACTATAAAGTATACACAGAAACATAAGTACAAATATATATTTGAATATAAATAACATAATATAAATATGTATAAATATAAATAATAAATATAAGTATAAATATAAACATAAATATAAACAATAAACATAAGTGTAGATACAAATACAAATATAAATATAAATATAAGTGTAAATATAAAGATAAATATAAACATAAATATAAATATAAGTATAAATATAGATATAAATATAAATATAAATATAAATACGAATATAAATACAAATATAAATATAAATATAAGTATGAATATAAATACAAATATAAACATAAGTATAAATATAAATATAAATATAAGTATAAATATAAATACAAATATAAATATAAGTATAAATATAAACATACATATAAATGTAAATGCAGTCTTAATTTTAGTGCAAGTACAGAATGAAATATAAATGGAAATAAAAACATGAAAATAAATAAAATAAATAGTCATGGAAATTAATAAATTAAACATATGAAGATAAATAAAAATGAAGATGAAAATGAAAACAAAAATAAATAAAAAATAAAGATAAAAATGGAAATACAAAAAGACAAAAAGAATTGAAATGAAAAGAAAAGGAAATATAATTTTATGCAAAAAAGATAAAAGAAATAAATAGGTGAAATATAAATCAAATTAGATTTAAGAAAGTTTTAAATAATTCAAAAAATAAATTAAATGTAAATGAGAGAAATTAAAAATTAATTCAAATCAAAGGGCCGCAAAGGTATATAAACAAAATTAAAAATTAAACGAATTTAACAATTAAACAAATAAGATAAAATAAATAAATAAATTAATAAATAAATAGTTAATAAAAGAATCAAATGCAAAAAACGAAATTATAAAATGCAAAAGTTAATTCATTTGTCTTACACTTTTATTTCTGTTTCCAAAAGCACATTTATACATTTGCACACGCTGCATCTCTAAACCCTAAACCCTAAACCCTAAACCCTAAACCCCCAGAGGCCCGAGACTGTCCGACTGCGCCTGCGTCTTTTCGCGGACAAAAGCAGCAGCTCGTTGGCTGCTGCTGCTGCTGTTGCATCAATACACTTCCCTACCTTGCTGCTGCTGCTGCTGCTGCCTTCGCTGCGGCTGCTGCTGCCCCTGCTTCTGCTGCTGCTGCTGCTGTTGCTGTTGCTGCTGCTTTCTACAAACCCCCTAAGGCTAAGGCGAGTCCGTATTGTGAATCTCATCTTGAAAGTATTTTTATTTATTTTAAAAAGTAGTTTTATTTGTTTTAAAAAGTATTTTTATTTATTTTAAAATGTTACAAAAATGTTTTAATAGAAGAATTTGTCTACAGCCCTCGGGCTGCTGCAGCAGCAGCAGCAGCAGCAGCAGCAGCAAAATGACAAAACGCCCCTCGTTACGACCGCCTCACTCATTTATTTATTAATTTATTACAACGAATTACTTTATTATTTATTTATTATTTATTTATCATTTATTTATTTATTTTTATTTAAATAAATGCGGATTTGAAAGAAATAACAAACGCATGAAAGCCTCGTTCTCAAGAAACTGCAAATGGGCGGCGCGGCCAATGAAAGAGTCGAGAGACCTAACAGCAAAATAACAAATAAATAAATAAATAAATAAATAAATAAATAAATAAAAAATAAATAATAGTAATGATGTGAAAGAGACTAAGGTAATGATGATGAGTCGGTTAATAGAAAACAAAAATTAACAGCAGCAGCAGCAGCAGCAGCAGCAGCAGCAAAGAGAGACAGCAGCCGCAGCAAAGAAAAACGGCAGCAGCAGCAGAAATGAGACAGAAGCAGCAGCAGAAACAGCAGCAGCAGCAACGGGAGATAGCAGTTGCGGAAAAGAGAGATAACAGCCGCAGCAAAAGAAGATTGTAGCACAGCAGCAGCAGAGAAAGGTAGCAGCAGCAGCAAAGAAAGCAGCAGCAAGCAGAGACGGCAGCAGCAACAATGCGAGAAAGCAGGAGGAGAAGAAACGAACATCAAAGGGACAGCAGCACCAGCAGCAGACAGCAGCAGCAGCAGAACAGCGGCAGCAAGAAAAGGAAACAGCGGCAGCAGGAAAACAGCAGCAGCAGCAGCACGAGAACAGCAGCAGCAGCACGAGGACAGCAGCAGCGTGAGAAGGAGACAGCAGCAGGAGACAGCAGCAGAAGAAGGAGTCAGCAGCAGGAGGTGACAGCAGCAGCAGCAGGGCACCAGCAGGAGACAGCAGCAGCAGCAAACCTTTCTCTGATCTTGAAATTGACACTTAGCCGCAGCACTTTTTCCTGCTGCAGCCAGGAGGAGACATTGCTGCTGAGGGACACTAAAATGCTGTTCTGCCTGCAGCAGCAGCAGCAGATAGCAGCAGCAGCAGCAGACAGGAGCAGCAGCAGCAGACAGGAGCAGCAGCAGCAGACAGGAGCAGCAGCAGCAGACAGGAGCAGCAGCAGCAGACAGGAGCAGCAGCAGCAACAGCAGAGAAAGAATCTGTTTAGAGTTTCCTTTCGCTGCAGTGACTCTTTTTGCTTCTGCACTTTTCTGGGCTGCTGCTATAATGCTTTTAATTTAATTTAATTTAATTTGATTTAACTTAATTTAATTTATTTTAATTTATTTTTATTCCCTCGCTCTATTCCATTTGAAATGCAAATTGAATTTAATTAATTTTTATTTTCCACACGTCTCATTTATTTCCTTTTATTTCTTTTATTTCTTTTATTCCTTTATTCCTTTAATTTTTTATTTAATTTAATCTTTTTTAATTAAATTCAATCTTCTTAATTTCCTTTAATCATTTTAATTCAATTTAATCTCCTCTTATTTCATTTAATATCTCATATTTAATTTATTCTTTTTACTTAATTTAATCTTTTTTATTTATTTCTTTTTTCATTTTTACAAAAATCCCAAAAGGCCCACTTCATATATTGCTGCTGGCTGTTCTCCTCCTCTACTAGGGGGGCCCCCGGGAGGCCCCCCAGGGGGCCCCCCAGGGGGCCCCCTAGACCCTGCGGGTCCCCCTGGGGGCCCCCCTGGGGGCCCCCCTGGGGGGGCCCCCTGGCTGTGTCTTCTGCTGCTTCATCAGTCCACGCGATGCTGCTGCATTCGCTGTCCCCGAAAGCACTTTTTTGCCTTGTCTGCGCATCTGCTGCTG